TTCTCCTGCCTGCTCTCTGTTATCTTTGTCCAGGACTCTAGAGAAGTGTTGTACCCTCTCGCTCTGTCCCCACTAACTCCTACTCTCTTTTTCATATTTTTTGATCGTTTGCATTCTGATCTGCAGTCTATGTAATTTCTCCAGCTTCATCTTCCAGTTCACAAATTCTCCTCTCATTTGTATTTCATTTGCTATGTAATTCATCAACTGGGTTTCTAATTTCTAATCCTTGGTTTCTTTGTGTTCAGAAAAAATACAACAAAGAAATATGTTTTTCTTTTCAAAGCTGCCTGGTTAGTTGTAATTGTCTCTTATGTCTTCACCAAACTTCTCATGCTTTTATTCCTTTGAGCATATCAAACACATTTATTTTGTACTCTGTATCTGATCACTCCAATATCAACAGCCTTTGCTGGTTAGCTTCTTCAGTTTTGTATTTCTGCCACTTTCCCTCATGATAGTTTGTTTTTTCCTGCACCAGATAACTTTTTTTATTGTGATCTTGGGCTCTTTGGAACTTTATTTGGGTGATTTTTTTGGAAGTTTGGTTTTTTGAAGTGCATTGCTCTATGGAAAATAGTTTTGCTCCAGCCAGGTTCCTGGGTATGCTACCAGAGTATCCAGAGTATTTCAAATTAACTTCTTGGCTCAGGTTATTTATTAGCTAATCAGCAATATGAATTCCTTTCAAAAATCTTGTGTATGAGGCTTAGTGATTAGGAATTTTCAGGGAGACTTTGTCTCTCCAACCTGCCTCACCAAAAGGCTGAAGGCAGCACACGGCCTTATTAATTATCAATTCTCTCTTCTGGAAAGATTTTTTCCCCCTAATCCATCAGATGAAGATGTCACCCCTTGGGAGTCTAGGTTGTCCCTGTGTAACTGGAAAATTTAATTTCACCTTCCACCCTGCTGTGGCCCAAGTTTTCTCCATCTATACTCTCAGGGCCTGTAAAGACCCAGACTCTGGGCTGCCTGAGACCAGGAAAACAGCCCCATCACAAACCCCAGATTCCTCCCTCCCTTAACCAGAAGGATCTTCTCTTTCTTGTTCCAGCCACCAAGGATTTCCTTTATGTTTCTATCAGATCAGCCATGCATTAAGCAGTGATTTTCCTTCCATATTTCATCCAACATCTTTAGATGTATAGGCCAGGGAGAAATTGCACTTAGTGGACAGTGTGCCATACTGCTGAAAAGCAGCATTTTGAAATAAGTTTTTAGTAAGTAACATTACCTATTTCTCTCATCCAGACACTGCAGTAAATAATTTTAAAGCATTGCTTTAGAGTTACAAGCTCCTGGACCTTAAAAAGAAAATCTTGGAACATATGGCTGGGGGATGTATTTGCTGTGTATCACTGAGGATTAGGCCCTCCTATGAATCTGAGCTGATTGGAAGATGTGTACTTAAGATCCAAACCTACTCACTAAATCTTGCAACCGATCTCATTAACCACGGCTTTATCACACTGTACTCTCAGCCACGAGTGGCCTGTAAATTGTCCCAGAGCCAAAGGAAGTTCTCAATACCTGTAGTTGTTCTTAGCCATTAAACTTACTCTGTTATATCCTAACGAAGTATTAACAAATCAGATGACACCCTCTGAGTTATAAAGGAAGTTTCCTTTGTGAATGGGATTTCTCTAATGCAAAGAGATTTGCTTCACTGCAAGGATCACCATTAGGATGCACCCCATGTGCCCCACCTGGTTCTGAGGGCTTTATTCCCAAATGATTATCATGTTAGCATCTTTGTGGATTATGTCACTTCTTCATTCACTGAGCTAACATTTACTGAGTGCCTACTGAGTGCCTCCTAGGTACCAGGCACTATGCCAGACACTGGAGATGTGAGGAGGACACAAACGTGATCTTGGCTCTGGGCAAATTCACTTTCTATTGGAAATAACAGAAATAGAAATACTAATTACAATAAAAACCACTGAATGCTGCAAATGAGGTATAAGCACAGTTACTTATGTCCTGATGAGCACCAGGTGATGTATTGAAGTGTTGAATCACTACATTATACACCTAAAATTAACACAATTCTGTATGTTAACTACACTAGAATTAAAATTTTTAAAAATCAAAGTTATTTGCCTCATGATACATTGTTCCTTTTTGAGATATAATTGATATGTAACATTATATTAGTTTTAGGTGTACAACATAATGATTCGATATATATACATATGTATAATGATTACCACTGATGTAGTTAACACCCATCACCATACAGAGATACAAGATTTTTTCATCTCATAAGACCTTTTAAGATCTACTTTCTTTGCAACTTTCAAATATATAATCTGGTATTGTTAACTGCTTTCATTCCCAAATCCCATCCCTGGCCACCATCAATCTGTTCTCTGTATCTGTGAGTTCTGGTTTAGATTCTACATATAAGTGAGATCATATAGTATTTGTCTTTCTCTCTGACTTACTTCACTTGGCATAATGCCCTCTGGGGGCATGCATGTTGTCACAAATGGCAGGATACTGTTTTCCATAATGGCTGCACCAATTTACATTCCCACCAACACTGCACAGGAGCTCTCTTTGCTCCACATCTGCCAACACTTGTTCTCTCCCGTCTTTTTGTAATATCCATTCTAACAGGCATAAGGGGACATCTCATCGTGGCTTTGATTTGCATTTCCCTGGTGATGAGTGATGTGGAGCACCTTTTTATGTCCCTGTAGGCCATTTGTATAAATTTCTTTGGAAAAATGTCTACTCAGATCCTCTTCCCATTTTTTAAATCAGATTGCTTGGTTTTATTGTTATTGACTTATCTGAGCTCTATATATATTTTGGATATTGACCTCTTATCAGGTATAAGATTTGCAAATATCTTCTCCCATTCAGCAAGTTGCGTTTTCATTTTGCTGGTGGTTTCCTTTGCTATGCAGAAACTTTTTAACCTGATAGGAGTCCCACTTGTTTATTTTTGCTCTTGTTGCCTTTGCTTTTGGTGTTTTTACTAAGACTGAAAAAAATTAACATTTTTTAAGTATTTAGAATCTGACAGTGAAATGCTAAAAGTTGGATTCATATGTGGGGTGAAGGATTCTACTCACTAGATTCTGCATCTTCTCTAGGTACCTCACTGCACCAGGGCGATCAGAGGATGCATACTAACTGAGGCTGTATCACTCTCACCACCTAGAAAACCTGCTAAGCATGATGGTGCTTGACAGAGTTTGATTCTCAAAGCGTAATGTTATCTGTGTGTGAGCATCTCTGGTTTGGGTTTCCATCCTTCAGGTTTTCCAAAAAAATTTTAATATTTTATTTATTTATTTGAGAGAAGGAGAGAGCGAATATGTGCACACACAACTGGGGGTCGGGGTGCAGATAAAGAAGCAGACTCTGCTGAGAAGGGAGCCCAATGCAGGCCTCGATCCTAGAAACCTGGGATCATGACCATTGCTTAAGGCAGATGCTTAACCAACTAAGCCACCCAAGCACCCCCAGGCTTTCCAGATTCTTACATTTGATGAGCATTGATGCTGCCATATACGATTTAAGCATCCTTAACCTGGCACTTGACCTTTAGTAATTACTCAGAGGCTTCATCTGCAAAATAAGTTTGGTATCTATTAGAAACCCCGCTGTTTTCTCTAGGTTATTGGGAAGAGCAACTGAAATAACAAAAGTCAAGTGTAAAACATTATAAATTTGTAAAGTTTTATCATTATTATTATTAGAGTATTATCAGAGTATTAGAGCATTTAATGATATTTGATTTCTTCACTAATTTATATTTGACGTTAGTTTTAGTAGTTTCTTAACTTAAAAATTGCTCTGAAAAAATTGCTCTGGAAATATTTTTAAATAGTTATAAGTAAATAAAGTGACTTGCTTGCTCATGTTAATTTTAAGGCATAGAAGAAAAAAATTTTTGAATACAATAGAGGCAAAAATGGAGGGATTCTGTTTGGATTAACATGTTGAAATCTTTGTAAATATAGACCTAGACCACAAGTTTCTTGTACTGAATCCAAAAATGTACCAATCCTTTTTCTGCACATGTCATTCAGTCCTGAAGTAAGCAGAAGAGATGGCAGTGTCTGAGTGATTAGACAGGAACAGGATGAGTATCTGTGTGGTTGCATGAAACCCCTCCTCCTCTTTGTGCGGAGAGTCAGAAATAAGTCAGTCCTGTAACAATAATAATATTAGCAAACATTTCTGAAAGCTTGCCTGAGGTATTCATATTATACACGTGCCAGATGCTAGTTCCAAGCCTTTAAAGAAATTCCGTCAATCCTTAATACCCCCCAATGCACTAGGCATTGTTTATTTCCATTTAAGAGATGAGAATTTTCAGGTGAGGGAGTGTCTGACAGCGTCCCACCTGGATGGAGCTGGGATTGGAGCCCAGGCACCTGTGCCCTGAGCCCACAGTTTTCACCCCTGGCTCTTCCCAACTCCCTCTGCCTTCTATGTCATGTCGACTTCATTTCCTTCTTCTGGCTCCTATCTCTTCTGTAACAACATTTGGAGCTCCCCATTCTCCAGGTGTGAGAATGAAAGGTAACAAGACATAGAAGGATATCAAAACATCCCCCTTTCCAGCTTTGGGCAACTTTTTAACTCATCTAATCATTGATGTAAAAGAAAAACTAGTACACTTGCCTGACAAACCATCAGACAAAGAAGTGTCTGTAGAGCATTTATCAACTTGCCTGCATGTTTAACACCTGATAGATGATTTTTATTACAGTTATTCAAACAACCAAAGAAAGGATCTCATGCTATAAAATCAAGACATGTTTTCTCGGCTTATAAGCAAAGGCCACATCCCAAGAAAACTATGTTCCTTGCATGTCAGGCCTTACCCACCACTTGTCAAGTGAGTTTATGTTTGAGTTTCTTGCCTGAAGGCACTTCCATCTTTAAGAATTTCCTGGACCAGTGTCTCAAGGAACCTACACTTCAACCCCAACACAAAGATCTGAGTTTCAACTCTTTCCATCTTTATTCTGCAGGCCTACAAAGTTGATGAGAAGGCAGCAGAGCAAGCTCGGTGGGAAGAGGCCTCCAAAGAGACAATCAAGAAAACCACCAAGCCCTGTCCCCGTTGCCATGTGCCCGTTGAAAAAAATGGTGAGTCTGGGGTATGGAAAAAGTGAGGATTTGGAGAGTTCTTGGAAAGCGTGAGCCGTGTGGTTATAATAAGCAAGAACTCTTGGAGGATGTGTAACTGAGTAGCTCAGCACTCAGAAAGGTTGGAGCCATTGGACAGAATGCAAATCTCACTCTCCCAGGTCAAGTTTCTTAACTGCTTAAGCCCGAGATTCTCTTCTGTCAGAGATGAAAACAGCAGCTGCCCCACAATAGTAGAATCATGAGATATCACGCATGGCAGATACTCAGCCAAGTGCCTGGCTTAGACAATCAATAAACACCAATTGCCCTTATTATTATTATTAATAATATTAGACACTTTTTATCTGGTAAGTTGTCCACCGGCATAGTCAAATATATATATTTGCCCAATATTTCTCAGAGTATCCTCCATGGGATTCTGACATCTAGAGTTATTTGTAGGGAAAGGATTACAAGGTCATTCCTATTGGATGTCCCTCTTGGATAATAACAACACAATTAACTTTTATTGAGCATTTACTGGATGCTTGTCCTAAGTTCCCTACAAATATCAAATCCTTTACCACTCACAGAAATCACAATATATTCCCATTCACAATATACATTAGCAATTCAGGATTCCTTTCGTAAAGAAATCCGTGTGATTTTGTTTAATAACCTGGTTCCCCAATTTTTTGGCCATGAAATTCCTTTTTTTCCCCCTTCACACCAATTTGTGTACCTTAGAACACCAGCATGCTCTTTGGGCTTTGGTTTCTCCATCCTTCTGTGGGAGATTTAGAGCCTCATGTTATCGTGACACTTGCCTGCTTCATTAAAATATCCTTTACATGAGTATGTTTCTCAATAAAGCTATTCCTTCTGCCCTTTACCAGCTACTCTCTGAATTTTAAGAATGTGAAGTGATAATTTGGAGATGCCTCTGGAAGCTGGGGTTGAGATGCCTTTTAGGAGCCCATGTAGAGGCCCTACATGGTGTGGGTTAATGGGCTTAGAAACATGGGATCCATACTCTGAACAGTTCTCTCCCTAATGACACTCCCTACTGGCACTCCAAGGCCTGGTCTCCCTCCCTGACACATGCAGCCATAGTGATACCTCCTTATAAATAGCTGTGGGGAATGGGAGAGCCTGTCCTCCCCACTCCTGTCCTAATGGACAAAGAGCCCTGTCCTCACTGAGGAACACAGAGGGAGGCCCACTCAGCTCCACGATGGTGCACCCAGGCTTGTGGCTACAGCTCTTCCTCCCACCTTGAGCTTCCGTGGCACTGGTGTCATGTTGCCTATGGGTGGTCATAGTGGAGCCTCTCTGCCCTGCAGCACTAGCCCACATTCAGGGTTCTGCTTTGGGCCACTCTGATACCTCGCACCAGCCAGCAGCGTACCTATTGCCATCCATCCTAGGCGTGCCAACCAGCATAAAGCCATCCCAGCCCAGTGCCCAGAGCCCATTCCGAATGTGAGGTAGAGGCCACAGCACTGAGAAATAAAAGAATGAGATGAGATGAGAAATAACGCAGCACCGGGGACACCTTTCCCCACATTCCCCTCACTGAGCATGAACTGCACCTGGGTGGGAGGCTGCGAACAGCTGGCTCACCCGGCAATCTCAGGATGGGCCTGCGAGCCTCTCTTTCGTCACGTGTGTCCTTTAGAAGGTCTTTGTTAATGCAAACAAGAGAGTGCTGACACATCCCTGTGCAGCAGGAACGGTCTCAGCTCAGGCCAAGTCCCTGGCTCTGAAACAACAGTCTCCTAGAAATAAATAAATAAATGGGTGCAGTGAGTCAGTGCATTCCTCTGCGTGCTGGAATGTGCCTGGAAGGTGGGCTGGCACACGAGGTATGAAGAGAGGACATCAGTGGAACCAGGGCAAGAACTCTTCCAGTCCTCGCTGCTTGAGCAGTGCCCTGTGGGCAACGGGAAGTCAGAAAAGATGCAGAGACTCTTCACGAGGGAGGATGTGCAGTGCTGATAAACATGGGCCAGTGCTCCATTCATTGCACACGGATTTCAAGAATGCAAACCAAATAGTAGGAGACCATTCTGCTATTACCAAAAGTCATGAGCCTTGCTTGTTTATCCCCTGAACACCCCCCGCCCCAGAAAAGCACTGACAAATACCCATTGAGTCAAAAAGTAGCTAGTAAAAGGGATCACGCTTAAGCAGATATTTGTATTAAAATATAATAGAGAAAGCAAACTAATAGAGCACAAAAGCCAGAGGGCTAAGAGTTGCCTTCCTGAAAGAGGTGATACCTGAGTAGAGAACTGAGGGGTCAGTAGAGATGAACCTGTCAAGGGAGTCAGAGGGAAGCCTTGGAGGACGGCAGCCCTGCAAGAGCAGGGAGTGGAGATTGGAGATGCTGGGTGTGCAGGAAGCCCAGCAGTTGGGAGTTCCAGGTGAGGCAGGGCAGGAGCAGGTGCAGAAGTGGTGCACAGGATGGAGGGGACATGAAGAGCCGGGACCTGATTCTGTAAGACGGGGAGCCATTGCAGGTGCGACGCGGGAAGTGATCGGGTCAGACCTGCCTTCCATCAGACCCCTCGACTCCCCACCCCTTGCCCCCACAGCCCTGGCAGGTGGCCCTGACCGAGTCACGTGCTACATGCTCTAGAATGGTTTCCTGATCTGCTATTTCTCTGAAATACCATGATTTACTATACATGGAAAGCCCTGATTTTTCACCTAGAGATTTTTAACCTATGAGCAGAAAAGCTGAAACCTTAAGCTTATTAATAATAAGCTATTATTAATCTAAACTGTTTTAGACCATATGACAGACAAACGTGAGCTCTGCAGGCAAGAAAAGCTGGGTTCATCATTTCGTTCTCAAAGGACACTCGTGCCCTAGGTCACAGTCCTCTGAATCCCAGAAAGTCCTTCTTCCTGCAGCAAAGCCTCAATGAAAATGAGGCTCATTTCCATTTTAAAGACAGGCTAAGCCTCCTCCTGTAATCTTCAGTCCAGGAAAGTGTCTTCCCTCACTTGCACCTCAAACAGATGAGACTCTGCTTCCGTTCTCTGATCAACAAGTGCCTGTTGCCTGTTAAGTCTCCCTTTGGGTCGTTCAAGAACTTCTGTTCTCATTAAACCTAATGAAAGACTCGGTGCTGATGGGCAGAGGCTGGACTTTTCGTGGTTTTAGGCATCAGCCAGGGGACTTTCCTCTCATATGAGAAAAGTCATAGTCATAATTTATTTCTTTAAAGGCCCACAAAGTCTGGTGAAGCTGTCAGCAGCTTCTTGCTCGCATTTACTTTTACATTAGCAAAGCTTTTCAAATTAGAATCCCTGGTGCTTCTCCATATCACGGGAGCTAGCATACTGCCTTGCATATATATATCAAGCAACAGGGGAAGGAAAGAAAGTTAATAACATGAATATTCTCTCTCCCTATTTCCTTTCTTCTTATTCTAAAGAGCCATCATGGTTCTAGTTTCTATAATAAGATCTTATTTGTAATGTTAGTATTCCATATCTATGAAGATTTTGGCATAGTAGGAAAACATTGTATTATTTACATCATAAGCATGTAATCATTTAATATGTGTTGAAAATTGTACAGTCCTGCAATTGTGTAATCCTAAATGAGATCTAGTAAGATGAAAATATCATAGCTGAGTTTTCCCCTTTATTTTATGCATATTTATAATTTCTAAACAATCTTGAAAACCAACCAAAAAGAAGTAGAAAAGTATGGGATTTTAAATGACCTTAAATTGGGACGCCTGGGTGGCTCAGCGGTTGAGGTCTGCCTTCGGCTCAGGGCGTTAACCCCAGGATCTTGGATGGAGTCCCATGTCGGGCTCCCTGCATGGAGCCTGCTTCTCCCTCAGCCTATGTCTCTGCCTCTCTCTCTGTGTCTCTCATGAATAAATAAATAAAATCTTTTTTAAAAATGCCCTTAAATTATCCTAAAACAAATTCCTTTAGTTACATATTCATAAATATTTTAAATCAGTGGAAGTTCTCATGCCATGTTTCTAATGATAAAAATGAGACAGTACGGAAGCAATTACCTGGAAAATTTGGCAAGAAAAAATGACTTAACAAGATAATTGGTAAAATTGAATAATAGAGCACATCTGATGTTGTGTTGAATTCAAACAAAGAACTGCTTTTGCCTGAATTATCTAGAAACTGACTGAATTTCTGCACTCCACTGCAGCCGTGATGTCTGAGCCCCAGAAGCAAATAAGAAATGAATTTAACAAATGCAGGAAGAGGAGGTATCCCACAATAAATCCTGGAATAAGGGACCCTTCATTTCATGCTGCAAAAGCCCCATTCTAGGAAAGAACAGATCCTGGTTAAATCTCAAGCTTTACCACTTAGACCTTGAGAAAATTCTACAGCGGAGTAACACTCCCACTTACTAGGTGCTTTTGAGGAGTAAATTAGGTAATCCACCCAGCGTGCCTAGTTTCCCCCATCTGCTCATCTTAAATACCATTTCAAACAGCATTAAGGAATGTATTGTTTCCTAAATACTTTCAGTACTGCTTTCCCAACTCCCATTTCATGAATTTTGCCAAGGCAAGTAACAGTATATGTACTGTGTCAAATTATTAAGTGTATTAACATCTCTTTAAAACATGAAACAATACACGTTTCAATGAGGAATTGACCCCAGCTTGTGAAAACACAACACGTTTGTCTCTAAATCCCATTTCAGGAGAAGTAAATAGACTCAGATTTATAAATAAAATTTGTGGCAGCCCAGGCGGCTCAGCGGTTTAGTGCCGCCTTCAGCCTAGGGTGTGATCCTGGAGTCCCAGGATCAAGTCCCACATGGAGCTCCCTGCATGGAGCCTGCTTCTCCCTCTGCCTGTGTCTCTGCCTCTCTCTGTCTCTCATGAATAAATAATATATTTATATATATAAAAGATATACATTATATATAATATATAAATATTATAAAATTTATTTATATATTTGTATATATATTTATATATTAATAAAATATTTTACTTATTTATTTATATAGAACTTGTCCTAGATGGGAGTGGCGAGCTCTACCCTCACTCCTTTCTTAATGGATGCCCTAACTTCAGAATGCCCTGGGATTGTGGGTGACATTCCCTTGGAAAGTCCTTTCTTAGACTAGTGTGTTGGGGCGGGAAGGATGTTCTCCAGATGTTTGCCTGTGTTCTTTGTCTGCCTGCAGGAGGATGCATGCACATGAAGTGCCCACAGCCCCAGTGCCAGCTGGAGTGGTGCTGGACCTGCAGCTGTGAGTGGAACCGGACCTGCATGGGGGACCACTGGTTTGACGTGTAGCCCTGCAAGCGGGCGCCCCACCGCCAGCCAACTTAGAGATGTACAGTCCCACAATTTGCTGCTCTTTCTCCAAACTCTCTCTCTTTCTCTCCCCCCCCACCACATGCACACACACACACACACACACACACACACACAGAGACACGCACGCACCCCTCAAATCCCTTCCCAATCCACAAAAACAAAGTTACAGGAGAAGCTCCTGGATCCCTTCCTTGGTGCTCATGAAAAGCAGTGCGAAGTATTCTCAGGCGTCAGCCCTCAATACACAGACCCCATAGTGCAGATGGAAAGTGCACTCCACCTTTTGTATGGATTGCCATTCTCCTGTGAATTCCAGTCAGGCTGGATTTAAGGACAGAAAGATTTCTCAGGTTTCATTTCCTGCATTTGACCTTCAGCGAAGATTGGGAAGAGGCCATCAGTGAGGAAATAGATTGGAGAGACCGGTGTCGGGGGTTCTCTGTAAAACCGAGGGCAATGGGTTCGACAACCCTATTCCTGACTTTAGGAGCAATGCTCTTATTTAAATTTTCAGAGAGTATCTGTTCCCAAAGAACCCCAGGCAATAGTCAAACTCTGTGTTTATCCCTAAGGATTCTACCTTTATATATTGCATCGGTGTAATATCAACTATGCATAAATCAGCTTGTCAACTAGTGAGAAATTATGAAAGTTAATTTGAAGGTTGAAATTATAGAAATCAAAACTTCGTGTGCTTTCATTCCATTTAATTATTTGAGACCTCAGAAAGAAATTGTTTTTCTGAAAGTACTACAAAGTCTATAATTTGATTTTAAACCTTCATTTTGCAGCTTGGAAGAACAAGCTAGTATATCTGGCTTCACTGTACATTTAATGGGTAAGGTGCCTATAGAGGAGACGTTTTTGGAAATGGCTTTATAATGATTCTCAATGTTAACAGAAGTGCAGGGTGTTAAAGCAGAAGTCTTTAAAGCAGGAGCATGGCGAGGGCTGGCAAAATGAAACCAAGACCGATTCTATCCCAGGGGGGGTCAGTGCTCTTTCTGCACCTGCTCTGTCCCCCATCTGCATGCCCCAGGGGCTCTGCTCCCTGAATGGGTTCCTCCAAGAGGAGCTCTTCTCTAGAAGAGTGGAGTCACACTAGAATATTTCCTCACGTTGACATGGATTCAAATGGAGTGTTTTCATCTTTTTTTTTTTTGAGACATTCACAACACATCAAAAAGAGATGTGTTTACACTATGCAGCAAACCTCATCTTCTTATAGCACAGTGTACAGAAGAAAACCTATAACCACCATCTTCTGTTCTCATTGTCTGTCTTCTCGGGGCTTCTCTTTGTAGACATAGCACCAGAAATCCTTGTTGGGGAAGGAGAGGTAAGGACCTTAGAATATTGCCCGAGAATGTCTGTCCCTCTATCCCTAACCATTCTTCTAGGCTCTGTTTAGAAAATCCAGCCTACCCCAAAGTTTCCAGACTCATGTCAAGAAGCCTTAAAGATCACAGCAAGGGAACGGAGAGCCAATATCTGTGAGCATTACTGACAATCCCAGCAAATAGCTTCTGACACTGACCTGACAGGACAAATCAGATGGCTCCCTGCCATATGGAACACCCACTATTTTATATTCACTATAACTTTTGGGTTTAGTGATGCTGTCGTGATTGCTTCCCTCCAAACCGGCATGTTGTGTTGGGTGCATGAAACCCAAACAAGGTTTGCTCTCATGGGTTCAGGCATGATAGAAGCTTCTGGGGCTCTCTGCTCCTTTCCTGGTGGTTGTCTTTTTTCTTTTCTTTTTTCTTTTCTTTCTTTCTTTCTTTTCTTTTCTTTTTCTTTTCTTTCTTTTTTCTTTTCTTTTCTTTTCTTTTCTCTTTCTTTTTCCAGAATAGAACATTGAAACAAGTTAAAGAAAAAAACAGCCTCTGTAAATGAATGGGAATCACAAACCACTATAAATGAACACGTTTGAACATGAAATGTGTAACCAAATGTGAATATATCAAAAGAATAGAAATAAAATCTTTGAAGAAAAATCTTTATTTTTCTCTGAAATGTGTAAAGGAATATTTGACAACTATGTCTAAGGCTGTACTCAAATTATCAATAAAAGCATCAAAAGAGCTTTTGAGTCCATCTCTGAGGGTAGATTTTCAGTAAATGCTCAAAGTGTGGGAGGGAAGCCCAGGACACCTCGCTCCAGGAGCCTCCCTCTTGCCTGAAGGGATCGCCTGGTGAGGCAACAGGGATTTTTATCTAAAAAGCAAACCATTCAATTAAAAAAATCTGTTACTTTCCTGCTTTATCAGCAAACTTTTCTAGTAAATGTTTAAAACAGAAGTTTGAGTCAGGAAAAACTACAAGGATTTTCTCTGTAATGTCATTTCAGAAAAGCTCATTGACTTTGCATTGCTCTCAATGTGGGTGTGTTGACACTGCATTTCTTTAGAACTGTTTCAGTGGCTGAAATGAGTGACAATGAGCCTGTGTTTGAGCAATCTGGAATGGAACATTCTTGGAGAGCTCCTATCCATAGATTAGGGAAGCCACACACCATGAGGGCCCATTGGTGCCAAACACCACAGGAAATACTCTAAAGAAACACAAAGTTTCTAGGAATGATGGCCCTGGTATTGACACTCATCTCCAGGGTGTAAATTAGAGAGTTGAGATTGTGAATGGAAATGAATAAACACAGATGTGGAACGCTTATTTGAAACAAAACAGCAGATGTGGGGAAAAGCCAACATCATTGGCCTTGTGGAGCATGTGCCTCACCACCATCCTTGCTGGGCCATTTCTGGTACCATGGAGAGTATTGATGCCAGTTTTTATTTTATTATTTTTATTTTTTATGCGTGTGTGTTTTTAAGATTTTATTTATTTGAGAGAGAGAAGGAAAGCGAGCACTAGTAGGGTGGGAGGAGCAAAGAGAGAGGGAGAAAAAGAATCTCAAGCAGACTCTGTGCTGAGCATTGAACCTGATGTGGGGCTTGATCCCATGATCCTGAGATCATGACCTGAACTGAAACCAAGAGTCGGACTCTTAACAGACTGAGCCACCCACGTGCCCCTCGATGTCAGCTTTTAAAAGAAAACCCTACTTCAATACAACATTGAACTCATCTCCCAGTTACCCACTATGAATAAACTGTCCGCCCACAAATATGTAAAAATTTTCTCTGCAGTTTGGATAATCATCCAAAAAAGAAAAAAGGTGAAAAATATTGTCGAGACGACGTTTGGCACAAAGATGGTTGGTGCTGCCTTGATAGGCCCACTGTGTTCCCCAATCTCATCATCCGATGTGTAGACCGAGAATCAACTTTGTCAGCACCAAGAGGTACCGGGACCCCAGAAGATGGATTCACACTAATCCAACTCATAAGAGAACAAAGTATAAAACCTAGAACATCAATTTAAATGTATATTTACAATGAGAAGTTCGTGTCCTGATCTTCACACATGATTTTCCATCTGCCTAGAATCTTTACAACCTCTTTCTTCACACCCTTCCTGCTCTGGCTGGCCAGCCTCAGATCTTCATCTAACCAGCTCCTCCAGAAACACTTTGTTCCTCATCTTGACCTTCACCGAGGATCCTTCCTGAATGTTCCTGTATGGTGTGGTATACGACTTCCCACGCCATAGCTGTGTGGTGTTTTTTTATCAGCAAATTTTCCAGCTCTCCACACAGCAACTGAGTGTCCTTCAAGTCAGTTTGATTCAGACATGAACGACCCAGAGGAAGTGTCAGACCCCGCAGGTAAGAGCTCAGTTCTGTGACACCACCCCCACGTCAGACATGACACAAGTCCCAGGTTGCCAGCTGTACTTCTCATTGGCTGGCTGGGAGTCTGGGGCCCCCATCAACCCCTCCTCAGGCTCAGTACCTCACTAGAATGACTCACAAAATTCAGGAAAGTGCTTTACTATTAGCGGCTTGTCATAAAAGAATCCAAACTCTGGGATCACTAAATGGAGAACTGCATAGGACAGGAATGGAAAGGGAGGGGGTGCATGCACAGAGCTTCTGTGCCTGCCCCCTACAGGGGCACCACCTTCCCTGCACCAACTGGGAAGCTCTCTGAAACCCCCTTGTTTAGGGGTTTCTACAGAGGTTTCATTATGTAGGCATGATTGATAATATCTTTGGCTGTAATTAACTCCATCTCAGCCTTCCAGGGATGGTTGGGGATTGGGGCTGAAAGTTCCAGGCCTCTAGTCAAGTCTTGGTTTTTCTGGCAAGCAGCCAACATCCTGAAGCTACCTGAGGCCCCCCCCCAACCACAGACACTTCATTAGCATACAAATGATACTCATCACTCCAGAGATTCCAAGGTTTTAGGGAGCCATGTGCCAAGAACCAAATATATATATCATATATTTATTTATATTTATTATTATATATTTATATTTATTATTATAACTTATATGTATGGCTTCTTTTTTTTTTTTTTTTTTTTTTGAGAAGGAAAGTCCGGGAGCCAGGAGAGGGGGAGAGGCAGAGGGAGAAAGAGAATGTCAAGCAGACTCCACACTCACCACAGAGCCTTTCTCAGGGCTCGATCTCACAACCCTGAGATCATGATCTGATCCAAAATCAAGAGTCCGACGCTTCACAAATAAGCCATCCAGGTGCCCCATATATAGCATTTATTGTGTAAGACTTTATTCATTTATCCCCCTAGGAGCAGATAAGAGCATAACTATGGTATTCATCTTTGCGTCTATAACACCTAGCCCTCGGCTTGCCACAGACCAGGCTCCATGGCTTAAGAACTGCATTTTTGAATTCTGAGCAAATCTACATGGCAAATGAAACAATGAAAAGCTTCCCTGCTGGGACACCCAGGGCGGGGGGCTCAGTGGTTGAACGTTTGCCTTTGGCTCAGGGTGTGATCCCAGGGTCCCAGGATCAAGTCCCACATCGGGCTCCCTTCAGGGAGCCTGCTTCTCCTCTGCCTATGTCTCTGCCTCTCTCTGTGTCTCATGAATAAATAAATAAAGACTTAAAAAAAAAAAAGCTTCCTTGCTGAGCCTAGACTCAATGCTCAGTGACTTAGCTGCTCGATGTGTGAACAAGGAACCCCTGGACAGGTATGTCATTTTCCATCAGAAATGTACATCTGACACAGGCCAGGAACCCCTGGTCTCAGATCAGGTAACTTTACCTCAAAGAGTTTCTGAGCTATATGGTGGAAGGATTCTACTTTTAAAGCCCTATTATGACTGTATTGCCCTCCTCCTTCTCACTGCCCCAGGTGAGCTCACCTGTCCATTGGATGTTCTTGAAGACTCTCCAGCTGTACAAGCAAAGGTTCACGGCACTGTTTTCCTTTCTATAGATGGTTTGTTTAGTCCATGATTCTGTGATTTTTAATTTCAACTCAGAGGAACTTTAGCATCAAATCTCCACTCAGTATGCTTTCCCTGTAGAGTTTTCCTTGTGTTTTTATTTTTATTGTAATATAGTAATTGCATTATTACATGCTTGTTACAGAAAACAAAGGAGAAAAGAAAGAAAAATCGCCATCTAGAAATAATTATTTTGCATCTTACATATTTCCATTTAAAATATATGATGAGCATTTTCTTATGTCAACAGATTTCTACATTGACAATTTTGTAGGACCTCATCGTGGTCTCCTGTATGCTAATTAAGTTAATCAGAGTATCTTTTATGCTTTCAGATCTAATTCAAAAGTGTTTTTTTTTTTATGTAGTCATTAAACAGTCTGGATATGAAAAGTGTTATGCAGCCTGAAAAAATGCTTGCTGTATAATGTTAAGTGTAAAGGAATTTACCAAAATTGTGTATGTACTATAACTGAAACTATTTTTAAAAACCTGGAAAAAGGGCAGCCCAAGTAGCTCAGTGGTTTAGCGCTGCCTTCAGCCCAGAGCATGATCCTGGAGACCCGGGATCGAGTCCCACATCGGGCTCCCTGCAGGGAGCCTGCTTCTCCCTCTGCCTGTGTCTCTGCCTCTCTCTCTCTCTCTCTCTCTCTCTCTCTGGTGTGTGTGGTGTGTGTCTCATGAGTAAATAAACAAAATCTTAAAAAAAAAAACCTGGAAAAAATTCATTGAAGAACATATATTAAAATGTAGTTTGCAGGGCACCTGAGCAGCTGTCAGTGAAGTGTCTGCCTTCAGCTCTGGTCATGATCCCGGAGTTCCAGGTTCTAACCCCACATCAGACTCCTCACTCAGAGAGGAGTCTGCTTCTCTCTCTGCCCCTACCCCTGCTCATGCTCTCTCATTCTCTCTCTCTCTTTCTCTCAAATAAATAAATAAAATCTTTTAAAAATAAAAGAAAATAAAATGCAGTTTGCCATGGTAATTATACGTGATTTTTTTTACTTGTCTCTACTCTCCGTGGTTTTCTGCAGTGTGAAAATATCACTTTAAATAAAAATAATAGATTTTTAATAGTTTTTTGACTAATAGTTTCAGTTTTTTAAAATAATAATATTTTTTAATAATAGTTTTAATATGACAGTGAGAGCAGCCATAACACATGCAGCCAAGGAGTGAAGATTTTTCCCATCAATAATTCTGCTCTTGGGGCGCCTGGGTGGCTCAGTGGATTAATCATCTGTCTTCAGCTCAGGTCATGATCTGGGGGGCCTGAGATAGAGCCCTCTCATCAGGGCTCCCTGCTCAGTAGAGAGTCTGTTTCTCCCTCTGCTCTCCTCCCTGCTCATGTACACGATCTCTCTCTCGCGCGCGCTCTCTCTCTCAAATAAATAAAATCTTTTTAAAAAATTTTAACAAATAATTTTGTTCT